GTGGAGTCGCTGCAGAATTGAACCACAATAGAGTGATTATTTGTCTTTTTGTATGCGTTCTTTAAGGACTATATATGGATTATACCTAGGGCCATATATACTTGCAAAATAAAAGAAAGTTTTGTCAACAAAAAATTAAGTATTAAGCAAAAAATAAATAAATGTAAATCTACAAAAATCGCAAAGCAAAAATTATTTTTGAGACACAAAAATGAAATTTGAAAAAAGAAATTAGCAAAGAAATTATATATATATATATATATATATATATATATATATATATATATATATATATATATATATATATATATATATATATATATATATATATATATATATATATATCTATATATATATATATGTATCTATATATACATATATATGTGTGTGTGTATGTATGTATATATATATATATATACATATATATATATATATCTCTATATATGTATCTATCTATATATATATATATATATATATATATCTATACATATCTATATATCTATATATATATCTCTATATATATATATATATATATATATATATATATATATATATATATATATATATATATATATATATATATATATATATATATATATATATCTATATATATATATATATATATATATATATATATATATATATATATATATATATATATATATATATATATATATATATATATATATATATATATATATATATATATATATATATATATATATATATATATATATATATATATATATATATATATATATATATATATATATATATATATATGTATTACAATGGTAAGTTTAAAGTTGCAAATTGCCTGCTAATTAGCTTCAATATTATAAAATCTGTAGATTTGTGAGGCGTGTTCAACGTGGATTTAAAAGATTGAGCATTAAGGTTGAGTTCTTCAGTAAAACAAAGTTGTTATTTTTAGAGAACTCGCTTTGAGAGTGAAAAACATACAGGAAAAAAACAAATATTATTCCTCCTATGATACTTGTGTGTCTCATGACAAGAATAATGATAGGTTTAAAGTTAAATTATGTTATTTGATGCCATTTGTGAACATTAAGATAAAGCCAGTACATGTATGACGCCTGTATTTGAAGCTTTTAATATAACCATGCTTTAAAGGGGTAGTTCACCTCAAAAAATATATTTGCTGTTAATTTACTCATCTTTAGGCTATCCAAGACTATGGTGAGATTTTTATCTTTAGTAGGTCTAAAACTTTTAAATTTACATTAAAGTAGATTTTAATCAAAAATTGATGTAAATACATATGACTTTGAGAGTTGAAAGCAATACAGACAAAACCAAATAAAGATTAATGGCTCCAGATGACACTTTAGCTAGGTTTATTACCCTGTGATAATGCACATTTTGAAATATTGCATTAGAAATGAAAGGTTTAAAAAAAAAGAAGAAAAATCTCTTAATTTGCAAACAAAAAAAAGGTTTTCAATTGAGGTACTTTTAGACTTGTGTGAAAAAGATTTAATCCATATAATGGGAGATACAAATGCATTTGCCAAAAAAAATCCACCACATAAAACACCACCCCAAAACATACACCAACATGACTAATCATTCATTCATTCATTCATTCATTCATTCATTCATTCATTCATTCATTCATTCATTTTCGTTTTGGCTTAGTCCCTTTATTAATCCGGGGAAGGGGTGGTAGTTGCCACAGCATAATGAACCACACTTTATCCAGCATATGTTTTACACAGCGGATGCCTTTCCAGCTGCAACCCATAACTGGGAAACACCCATACACTCTCATTTACACTCATACACTAAAGACACTTTTAGCATACCCAATTCACCTATTGGCCTTATTCTACAATGCGGAAGTGCGCTCGTTTTTGTGACTGTTTTCGAACTTCTGATTCAGCTGCCTATGGGAGAAAGGAATAATACATGGCAGAAAACAGTCAAACTACTTGCTCTACAAACAAGTGTTTGCATACAGACATACGCTCATACGCGAAGAATAAGGTGAATAGCGCATGTTTTGCACTTGTGGGAGAAACCAGAGCACCCAGAGGAAACCCATGCGAACACTGGGAAATGCCAACACAAACTTAACACAGAAATGCCAACAGACCCAGCCAAGGCTCGAACCAGCGACCTTTTTGCTGTGAGGCGACAACACTACCCACTGCGCCACCATGCCATCAGATATCTCCATTTTGCTTGCCTTGTTTACTATTGGTTACTAGGTTACCAATACCACAGTCGACTGCTTGATTAGAAATGCCTCTAAGTATCCTTTAAAAGATTCACTTCACTTTAGGATGGTCAAATAAACTGTCCTATCACATAATAATGCAAATGTTGAAGATCTGTGAAAAGTATCTGACCGAGATTGTTTTTCATCATTTGGTTCAAATAACTCATATACAGTTCAAAATTTATTTTTGGTAATGAATATATTTTAGTCCCAAATCGATAACCACACAAGTCAATAGACAGATTTCTTTGTTTGCACAGGCAGATCCTGGTACTGCTGGAGTTGTGTTACAGTAGAAGAGGGATAAAGCGAGTTCAAGAATGCTGAAGTGTAGTTTAGCCCCAAGCTACAGCTTCTATCACTTTGCAAGATTTCCTCCAGAAAAAAATGTGTCACACCAGCCGGTATCAGTCTTCTTGATTCCGTGACCCTTTCCCCTTACACAAACCTTTCACAATCCTCCACATATTGGTTAAAAAAGTCCTAGCGATATTGTAGCTGCGTAATTTTACCAAATCGAACATTAAATATATTTTCTACAATTATAAAACCAAAATTTCAGTCAGGTTAAAAAGGCCTATTTAGTTTGAGTTGAGGTTTTTACTAAAGGGATTTTGGGAGTCTCTCTTGAATATTTTTTTTCTAATAAACAAATGTATAAACATTCATTAATTCATTCATTTTCCTTCATCTTAGTACCTTTATTTATCAGGGGGCACTACACCGAAATTAACCTCCAATACATCCAGCATTTGTTTTACACAGTGAATGCCCTTCCAGCCGTAGCCCAGTACTGGAAAACATCCATACACCCATAAATATCTCAATATAATGAATCCTTTTCCAGAGATGGGTTGTGACTGGAAGGGCATCCGCTGCATAAAAATGGAACAATGGATAAGTTGGCGGTTCATTCCGTTGTGGCGACTCCGGATTAATAAAGGGACTAAGCCAAAAAGAAAATGAATGAATGAATAATAAATCCTGACGTTTGGTGTATGTAAATGCAGCTGAAGTGGAGATTTATGATGAGGTGCAGGAGAAAAACTCATTGTGATAATACAACTTTAAAATATGATGAATAAAATGATCAAACGCATAAAAACCCAAGTGCTTGAAAAGACTTGTTTAGCCTGCAGTGTCCCAGAATAATATAGAATTAATCTTTTACTAGTGTCAGTTTGGCCTGGTTCATAAACTTTTATTAAGAATCATACCACCCTCTTCTGTTTAAAAATTGAATTACACTTTCCCTGTTGGATTGGCTTAATGTCTACTCTTGTGTTATTTTATCGTTGTTTATTGACACCTTTATTTATATGTGTACATAAATGCTACTAAAATTGATACGAATACCTACTATATTAAATCCTTTTTTATGCCTTAACCTATATAAAATGAGATTTAATCCACCATTAAAAAATGCTGAATCACTTCATCTAATCAAGAATGACTGCATAAGACAATGGTGTATTTTTATTTATTTTTTTATTTACTTGCTGGCCTCGATTTTCTCATCTTTCTTTCTGGAGCCTGTAGAGCTCTGACACTCATTTTCCAGATCTACATCTGCGTGACATGATCTTCCTAATGCTGCTCACCGTCTCTATGTCAGGGATTTAACTAAGTTCATTAGTGTGTGGCAGAGTTCATGCCACAATGAACGTCAGTTACTCTGTTCCAGATGAAGTGCAGATGATGCTGCTGTCTTTCCTCTTTAATGCCCATATGTTGTTTTATGTACCATATATAGACAGTATGTTATTTTATGCTAGGTGAGTTTATATCAGTAAGCTAATTGAATGGATGAATGAATGAAGAGTAGATGGATCAATTAAATAAAAAATTATAAAATATTAATAATTTTAAAAGTTAAAAATGCATTGATGAATTATATAAAATTATATAAATTACTATATGACAACTCAACTATTTGGAAGTCTAAAAAAGTTACTTATTTTAGTCTATAAATGATAGATATTGACTGATGAACAATTAATTGTATTATTTATAAGGTAATAAATATATAATAACCATTTATTCATTTTCTTTTCAGCTTAGTTCCTTTTTTAACCTGGGGTCGCCACAGTGTAATGTACCACCAACTTATCCAGCTTCTGTTTTACATTGCGGATGCCCTTCCAGCCACAACCCAACCCTGGGAAACACCCATA